TTTCTTTTGCTTTTTCATGCTCCACTAACAGTGGTTCACAATCAGGACCAGAACTCTTGGCCATTTCATTCTTTTCCAACAGCGGCACTTTCCAGATGTTGGCTGGCCAATGGCTGGTAGCAAACTTGCCAGCACACGCTCAGGTATATGCTCCCCAGTGGTAAAGGGGGAGACCTGTTAAAGGGACTAATTGATAAGCCGGTGATGACTGATGCCTAGCAAATAAGAGTCTACGGCTCAGAGGGAAAATAAAGACAACAACAAGTGTGGCAGGCTAACAGACAGTCAAGAGGAATACACTTTCTGGGGACATAAACAATAGCTAGCTGTGTTAAGGACGGGTGGACAAAGATCCTACAGACAAAGCGGGTGCAGATGAAGACGCAAGGGATAATGAAGAAAGTTAAACATGGACCAATTCCAAAAGTGGCAATGCTGAGCAAAGCCCTAAGGGGACCCCTAGACTCATCCAGAAAAAGAGAGGTAAAGAGGGCCTCGAGGAAGGAACAAGGGAGACGGAGCCAAGAGGGGGAGCACTGATAAGTGCAAGGTAGCCAAACATACCCAAAGGGAGTAGGGAGGCATGAGAAGCAAAAAAAAGAATGATAGAGGAAGATTTAGACAAATGAGGTAATTCTATGTTTAAAAAAAAGAAAGAAAGAAAAAGTAAAAACATGCAAGAGAAAGAAACAATTAGGAGCTCAGTCTCCTGCATAATTTTACCCAAAACTGACACGAAGTGGATGAATAAAATATTCAGTTCGTTCTAAAGACAATGTAGCTAGCAGAAAATCATGGATAATCACTGATTGTTATGAGTGAAGACCATTTCGGCTTTTCAATCAAATAGAAAAATCAAAAAGGGTATAACAGTGGTTTAACACTTTTACATTCTCTGCCTTTGAAAGCAATGCTACTATTATGAGGTATAACATTAACAGATCATTTTCTCAAAACTGTGTGAGGTTAACAACTGTTAGTTCTTTGTGTACCAACAACTGCAACACCCGAAGGAAGGGGATTTTTAACTATAAATGACAAAGATATTCATAAGAAATAGGGCTCACCCTTACGCCAACTTTACGAGTATTCAGACTAAGCTAGTCTCCTGTGCACAAGTATAATTTAACAGAAGGGGATTAGAAAAGAGATGGTGGAAAGGAGAGTGGAAGAGTAAGATATGCACTTGAGATTATTGGTGGGAGCATGAGAGAAACCTGGATCATTCCAGGTCAACCATATTTTTAGTAATACCTCAGTTAAATGAGACCAGAGGAGAGACAGGAGCAGCAACCATTAGGTTCAATGAGGTATACATCTACAGCCACTTTCAGATTGACACCAAGCCCTGCATGAACAATCACAGGCTGATTATTCGTTTAAATGAGGTCATTCTGGTAAACACTCAGATTTTCAGCAAAAACAGTTATGCCTTCTTGATCTGACTCTGCTTACGTGCCTTTGACCAGCCTCTGAACTTGGGATGATGTCCTGTGCTCTGTGTCTCCTACAGCAGAAGAAGAACTTGCTCTTCATGACCAAATAACAAAAGCAAAAAGATAAAATCATATTTTTTTAATGAATCTATTGAAAGTTTAAATAGATAAACAAATATTATTCTTATTCCTTCACAATATTCTTCCAGGGAATTAGAATAGCAAAACCAGGCAGCTTTAACATTTATGCATGTGAGCACGGTTGTACAGCAAAGAGAGAGAGAAAAAACAAGTGTACAGAAGAGAAGGGGGAGAAGGGGTGGAGAGCAAGAAGCGAGAGGGTGCTTGCCTGGCACAATGAGTCCTACTTGTTAGCTAGTGACAGTGTCAGGGATCGTGACAGGGTCCAGACGCTAGACACCAGCTGCAGCGCCTCGTAAATAGACTGCTGTCTCGCAGGCACATTTGCACGGCAATGGTTGCACACAAATGTGCACACACAGGCATGTGGGCACATGCATATACTATGGCAGGCACACAGACAGACACTGACTTATTGTGTCTCCCAAATCTTGTAAAAGGGACAGTGAGCCTCTTTGTGTCTTGTGTGATGTTAAACCTCCTGTAAAAAGTGCTTTACACAAAAAGCGCTCTACACAAAAGAACTCTAAGCACCATAAAAGTCTAAATAAAAGAAATAAATATGTATTAATAAATCAGTTATCTTTTAATTGTTAAGAAAAAAATGCTACAATCAGTCCATGGGTGACTTGCTGGAACTGCAAGACTAATTTTTTTTTTTTTTTGCTACTTTTGTATTTGCGTGTGTCCACCCAGCCTTTCCAGCGATAATGGAGAGGGGTAATTCACTACATCTGCCCTAAGGCATGGAGGAGAGAAAGTAAAAACGTAGACGAGAGCTGATAGTTTAGAAGGAGAGGAGAGCCAAGCTGGAAAAGGGTGAAAGGGTTAAATCTGCAGGACTGATCCTGCTGAGCCAGCAGCAGTACGTTAAAGTGCAAGGTTTCATTGTAGCAGATACAGAATGAAACTCCTTCCCATTAGTCACGCTAGTAACTGAAAAGGCTCTTCACGCTGTTTAACCCTTGCTGTGCTGCAAACAAACCACAGCAACAACACAGGTAAAGCACTTGTAAGCAGCTAATGGTTTCTGTCTGCAACTTCTCATGCACAATGACATTATAATAAATATACAACACTGGTCGAGGGTGCACATGTAAGCAAAACTTGAACTTTTTCTCTGATGCATGAAAGAACCTTCTGTCTGAATTCACACATAGAACGCGACTCGGACGGAGTGACCTTTTGAGGGGGATTTTCTTTTTCTAAACTCTTTTCCCCCCCTTATTCCCTGCACCCCCACTCCGCTTCTCTTCTTGAGCAAGCCTCCCACACCATGCTACAGCACACACTGTCTCTGAGGGGCTTAGGGAGGAGAAGGCATGCATACCCTTCCTCCAGTCAGAGCAGGGCAGAACCATAATCATCATAATTATCATCATCATCACACTGCCTTAACCAAGACACACCACAGCAAAGCAAGTGGTGCAATGATGAAACAATGGAACAAACCAACCACGTAAACAAACCCATAATGGGAGGACATAAGGTTACTCGGGTCATTACAAAAAATAAAGGAGCAAGTTGTAATTTTAATAGTACATTATTTTTAGTTTTGTTTACACGGGCAAAATGGATATGAGCTGGCTTAATTTGAATCACTTCCTCAAGCTGCAGCAATAATCTGGCAGGTTACTCCAAAACAACTGAAATCGCTGGTTCAGAAGAGCAAAAGTAACTATACCAAATCTGTCTCGCAACGCAGATACAAACACACACCTTACTCCTGTAGAGAAGACATACTGGTTGGTCCCGACCTCTCTCTAGCACATATGATTTAGTACCCCAAGAAAAAAAAAGAAAGACATTTGATCCTAATTAAATCAAAATGAAGCATGAAATGCCCGATGATCAGGACACAAAAATCCCAGCCCAGGTTGTTTGTTTTGATTACTGCGATCTGATGCAGCAGTACAGTGACATCTGAACATAAACTCAAAGAAGCCCTAAACGTCCCATGAGGGAACTGGTAATATTGCTCTCTGCCAAGTGTTCAGCAATAATGAAACAACAATTACCATTCATCATTCTCTCATTTCCTTTCTCATTACTGAAGTTACCATCAGCACCAGGTAACAAGAACATGTGGCATGCAGCCTAATGTGATTTAAAGAGATGAATGATGTATAGAAAACACGTGGCCTGTAATGAGCTACACACTGTAAACCATACTGCATTGGAAAAGCTGACACTGTGCTATAGACACTGTATGTTTCGAGGAACAGGACTTCACACACTACAAATAAATGCTACACGGGGAGATGTACATAAACTAAAGGAAAAAGTACACAAAAAAGCTAAAAATATGTGGAAAGTACATGGCCCTGATGATGTACAGCTTCTGCTCTTTTTTTCCAGCAACAGCTGCATATAACTGAGGTCAGTCTGATTTCATGAACAACCCCCTTTTAGAGTATGTCACTGAAAGGTAATAGTTAAATTGTTTTTGAGGAACAAGTCGTTCGTTTAAAATGATGAATTTTATGATATCCTCAAAAAGTGATCAAAAACCTGGAATTAACTTAAGCACATGCTAACATACTTTGATTTTTTTTACTCAATATATATACTTTTTCATGAGATTACTGCCACAAAGTTGTTGTTTTTTTCCTGTAGGACTGCGTGTACTTACTTACTGACTACATGTGTAACCAGAGAGGAGACATGTATTACTGAAAATTCAACCTTAGGTAGACTTTTTGTAAAAAGATTACATATGGCAAATGATTATCATCCTTATTAAAACAGTTCCTGGTCAGGTGTAAAAGATTAGATTAGACTGATTGGTCATTTGAGTGTGTTCGTGTGCCAGGGTTGTGTTGAGATTAGCTAGTTACTGGCTGTGGGGAAAAAAAAAAAATCAACTTCCACATTTTATTTTCAAAAAAGCAAAAATGTTACACAAGTTTTTTTATTATTAAATATTAGTAAATTAATGTATCAGGTTGAAATTGTAAGGTCTTTACCTGACAATATAAAGCGCCTTAAGGCAACTGATGTTGTGATTTGTTGCTATATAAATAAAACTGAATTGAACTGAACTAAATTGTGGTTCACTGACGGACTGTAGTCCTGCCCATACCCTACCTCCAGCACTTCTTGTTGGATACATGGGTAAGACAGTCGATGATGAATGTGTAAGAGGTGCCAGAAATCTCAAATTAAGTTCACTTTATGTCATTCCAGGCATATTAAAATACACCGGGACAAAATTATGTTTATGAAAGCCTGAGTAAGTGGAAAAAAAAAAACAAAAAAAAACAAACAAAGAAAATTTGCTGTTTTGAACCCTTTTGCCAAAACTGTGTCTATTATTAACCTCTATTTCACTTCTATAGCTAATACCAGACATCCCATTTACATTATACTATGTTCAACATTTAAAAAATAAAAATACATGGAGGTTATAATGGGTTCACTTACTCCAGTCTTATCACAGAGCCGCAGGGTGTTGAAAGAGCCCACAGCAAACACCTCTCCATCTGGAGCCCAGGACAAAGATGTGACTGGGTAGTCATGAGACAGTGAGCAGTGAAGCAGATGTCCAAAGCTGTCCCATACCTGTTGAAGAGGCAAATGGTTTTAAAAAGGTATTCAGTAATTATTAAGACATCAACAAATATACTAAAAAGCCACTGACCTTATATTTACAATCTTCCCCACCTGACAGGATTAGGTCATTGACTGAATTCCAGTCTACCTTCAGAATGACCCCATCATGAGCCTTCCACTAGGGAGAGAAAGATAGAGAGAAAGCATACACGTAATGGAAAGAATGGGGGGAAAAAAGAAAAAGTTAGGTTAAGAAACATAATAACGTCATCAACACATAACATTTTGGTTTGAAGAGATCTCTAACAAATTCCTATACTTTTCCTTTGTCCAAAAGGAGGATAAAAATAAGCTGGCTGGAATAAGCACCCGTATGGAATTTATTTTTTGGTCACGACCACAGTTACAAGTTTATGAATTGTTTCATCTTAGCCAAACTGAGAGCTTACTTTTAACATTATGTGTTACAGTGTAACACAGAACAGAGAGCCTGTTCCCAGCCTTATCTCACCAGACCTAATGTACCATTCTGTTCCTAATCTACCATTCTGTTCCTAATCTGTATAAACATTTTATTTTTTGTACACTGGTTACTTATTCCATGTACCCAAGGAAGACACAGGTAGATATTCTGTATTGCTGTCTGTATAAGGGACTGCAAAGGTCAAAGAGGATGATGTTAGGGGGTCTGTGGGGGAGGGGGGGAGGGGAGTTCATTTGTTTAGTTCATTGTGTTGGTCTTCAGGGGATCTCAGAGGGAGATAATAAAGTTGGGACATTGTGCTTGTATATGAATTTATGTGCAGTAATAGCTTAGTAATAGTTTTCTTATAAGCCTTTAAGTATAGTGTAGCAGAGGTGAGAAAAAAATCTTCTCTTGTTTCAGTGTCTTTTATGAAATTAATGGCCTCGCTGACTTATTTAAATGGAGAACTCAATTTTGCTTCTGTTTGACATAATAATTTCAAGTTAATAATTCACTACAAACTATACTATACTGAGAGGTCATATGGTCTGGAACTGGTTTTCATATACATATGAAATAGCATATTTTGATGTCTAAATCCTACAAGCCTTTGTAAATGTCAGTAAAATGAAAACGAATATCCCCAAGTGTGAATTTGCGCTCAAGCAACATGTGTGAGTAACAGAGAGAGTTTAGTCTGTCGGCTTACTCAGAAAAAGTTTGTTTACCTGTATGATTTTGGCGCTGGGCTGTAAAGGCTTGATAATTAGCTGTCTTCCTGAAGTGTAGAGAATTCTGTCCGAGTCCGGACCCCAGGCCACAGAATATACAGGAGATCCTGGAAAGACATCCAAAAGCATAGGATGAAGAAAGCAGCAATCTTCTATTAATCATGAGCCAAGAGCACAGAGTTGTGTACAAATGCGCCCTCTCTCATTTACAAATCAGAATTTGCTGTGAACAATAGCTAGAGGATGAAGCAGACCCAATTCCTCCTCTCAAAAGATATCATACTCAATCAGAAATCTCACCTCATTTAGTCTACGTAACAGCACTTTGCTTCACTTACAAGAAAACCAGCTGAGAAAATCAGTCTAACTTCTACTGCTTAAGCACAAGTGTGTGTCTCTGTGAGCAAGAGCGTGTGTTGAGCTGTGCCTGTGAATCTGTGTGTGTGTGTGTGTGTGTGTGTGTGTGTGTGTGGGGGGGGGGGGGGGGGGTGACATTTAACCCTACTCCAGGTGCATGGGGTTTCTCACAAATGCCAAATGATCCAAATCTGACGAAGGCGATGAGAGGGGTTCAGACAAGTTCCTTTTTCCTCGCTCTCACTCTGTTCCAACCTCTTCCTAGAGCTCTCTCGTAAAATGGGTCATAGTATCCAAAAAGAACAGTGTGCTCCTGTAATTTGTGCATATATGTGCATGTGTGAGAGAGAGTTTGTGTGAGTGTGTGTTTGTGAAGCTGTAGCCACAAAAGAGAATCAACACCTGCAGTGATCTGGGTGCCATGTGTATCTGTAGAAATACTACTAAATCCAGGTGTTGCACAAATGTACAGCTCAATCCCCAAACACTAAGAAAAAACATTACTACATACTGGGCTCAATCACCAGTCCCCAGCCAGGTTTTACACAGCATCATTCAGGAGTGGCATACAATCAGTTTCACCAAGAAGCCAATTTTTACCCCCCAAAACAGTTACATCTGACATCAACTGCACAGTGATTAATAAGTAAGATCTGAATGCTAAAGAAAGAACTTTAGCATCAGTCTTACTTGAGATTTTTATGGCTTTTAGTAAAACTCCACTTCTAAATAAATAAATAAATAAATAAATATATGAAAAACACCCAGCACGCCCCTGCGGGCGGTTTGTCCTTCAAGCTCGGGTCCTCTACCAGAGGCCTGGGAGCTTGAGGGTCCTGCGCAGTATAGGGCTTTGGAGTTGACGTCATGCCGCAATGCATTGTGGGAGCGCGGCGCCATTTTCGGGGTCTACGATCCAAACAAACTCACTGTTGGAACGGCGACGATGACAAGAAACATGCTTAAAAGCAGCTCAAAAGAAAACGGACGGTAAAGAGACCGATTGCGTCCAGAGGCGAAGCAGCGGTATTTGAAAAAAAATAGAGTGCATCGCAAATCTGGACCCATATGAAATACGGCAGTGGAGTAAAGACCCAGACGACTTCCCGCCACTGTCCTACCCCGATATCTTCACGCATCTTGTTTGTGGAGTAAGCGCTTACACAGCGAACCAGTTTCGTAATTACAAGTCACTGGAGGCGCACATCCAATTTACAAATGGCTGGGTGCAAGATTTGGCTATTTTCAAGCCGCCAAACTCTTGAGTACGTCGTCAAAGTAAGTCAGCTGGAGTGCATCGAGTGAAATAGCCATTTTCCACCCCCCACCATAATTAATGTTATACATTTATCAGTAAACTGCTAAAATATCGTTATCATATTATGTGCCCATAATTGTAAAGTAGATGCAAATTAACACATTGATAATCGGGCAAATTATTAACGCCAATTTGTGTCCTCCCTGTCTCCTCCTGCGAATCTTTACATAGCACATATGTCTGCAAAGTCACTCCATTTGATGTTTGATCGCAATTTCTATAACTTCCGAGACCACCAACGATAATATTATTCAGCTATAAAGTGTGATGTGAACATATTTAGAACTTACCGGAATGAAAATGTCTTGAGCACACCAGCTGATATCTGGAGACGTAACAGAACTTGATATCAGCTCGTCTCACGGCTGCTATCCAGGCTAGACGCCTTCGTTTGGTAATATCCGATACATGAGCTCCTTCATGTTGCTTCCAGGTTGGGAAAGCATAAAAAGACAATTGAAACTTATTCCCGTGCCGGTCGTAAGATCGAACATTGCAGCCGAGCACACAGCAAGTACGAACCATGGCTATGCTTTCGCTCCTTACTTAGACCCCCAAAATGGCGGATCGGGCCAAAATCCTTTCCACGCCCACCCCCGTGACATCACGCTCCAAAGCCCTATCTTAGCTGTTCCCAGGACTGCGCTCTTCTGGACAGAGATCGCCGATGTTATTCCTGGGATCTGCTGGAGCCACTCGCCTAGCTTGGGAGTCACCGCACCTAGTGCTCCGATTACCACGGGGACCACCGTTACCTTCACCCTCCACATCCTCTCAAGCTCTTCTCTGAGCCCTTGGTATTTCTCCAGCTTCTCGTGTTCCTTCTTCCTGATATTGCTGTCATTCGGAACCGCTACATCGATCACTACGGCCGTCTTCTTCTGTTTGTCTACCACCACTATGTCCGGTTGGTTAGCCACCACCATTTTGTCCGTCTCTATCTGGAAGTCCCACAGGATCTTAGCTCGGTCATTCTCCACCACCCTTGGGGGCATCTCCCATTTTGACCTCGGGACTTCCAGATTATACTCGGCACAGATGTTCCTGTACACTATGCCGGTCACTTGGTTATGGCGTTCCATGTATGCCTTGCCTGCTAGCATCTTGCACCCTGCTGTTATGTGCTGGATTGTCTCTGGGGCATCTTTACACAGCCTGCACCTGGGGTCTTGCCTGGTGTGATAGACCCCAGCCTCTATGGATCTTGTACTCAGAGCTTGTTCTTGTGCTGCCATGATTAGTGCCTCTGTGCTGTCTTTCAGTCCAGCTTTGTCCAGCCACTGGTAGGATTTCTGGATATCAGCCACCTCCTCTATCTGCCGGTGGTACATACCGTGCAGGGGCCTGTCCTTCCATGATGGTTCCTCGTCTCCCTCCTCTTTCTTGGGTTTCTGCTGCCTGAGGTATTCACTGAGCACTCGGTCAGTTGGGGCCATCTTCCCAATGTATTCTTGGATGTTCGTTGTCTCATCCTGGACTGTGGTGCTGACACTCACCAGTCCCCGGCCCCCTTCCTTGCGCTTAGCGTACAGCCTCAGGGTGCTGGACTTGGGGTGAAACCCTCCATGCATGGTAAGGAGCTTTCTTGTCTTTATGTCAGTGGCTTCTATCTCCTCCTTTGGCCAGCCTATTACCCCAGCAGGGTACCTGATCACGGGCAGGGCGTACGTGTTGATGGCCCGGATCTTGTTCTTACCATTCAGCTGACTCCTCAGGACTTGCCTGACCCTCTGCAGGTACTTGGTGGTTGCAGCTTTTCTAGCGGCCTCTTCATGGTTCCCATTCGCCTTCGGGATCCCCAGGTACTTGTACCTGTCCTCTATGTCTGCAATGTTGCCTTCTGGTAGTTCAATCCCCTCAGTTCTGACTAACTTCCCTCTCTTTGTTACCATCCGACTACACTTCTCCAGTCCGAATGACATTCCAATGTCATTGCTGTATAGCCTGGTAGTGTGGATCAGTGAATCGATGTCTCGTTCACTCTTGGCATACAGCTTGATGTCATCCATGTACAGGAGGTGGCTGACAACTGCTCCGTTCCGTAGTCGGTATTCGTAGCCAGTCTTGTTAATTATCTCACTGAGGGGGTTCAGGCCTATGCAGAACAGCAGTGGGGACAGAGCATCTCCTTGGTAGATCCCGCACTTGATGGTGACTTGTGCTGTGGGCTTGGAGTTGGCCTCTAGTGTTGTACGCCACATCCCCATTGAGTTCCTGATGAAGGCTCTTAGGGTCCCATTGATCTTGTACAATTCTAAGCATTCCAGTATCCAGCTGTGGGGCATTGAGTCATAGGCCTTCTTGTAATCAATCCAGGCAGTGCACAGGTTGGTCAGTCTGGTCTTGCAGTCTCGGCTGACTGTTCTGTCTACCAGTAGCTGGTGTTTTGCGAGAGTACACCTTTGCTGGTTCTGTGGAGAACAGCTGGTTTATTCTCCTGCCTTCTATCTCTCTGGTGTACCTCCTCAAGCGGCTGGCCAAGGCTATGAGTCTTTGCTTGGCAGTTTCCAAGGCCTCAGGTATGGACAGCTTGCTGTATTTCTTATGCACCTTCTTTGTCGTACCTTTCTGCAACTCCGTTAGTTGGCTAACCTCCCTCCGTGCTACTTTGATCTTGCCCTCTAGCCTCCTTCTCCATGGAGGGTACTGCCCCTTGTGGCTGTTCAACTTGTAGCCAAGCATCTCACTGATCACTGCTGCCGTATTGTAGATGTTGTATGTAATATGTAATATATATATATATATATATATATATATATATAAAAAACAAAAACACCCAGCACGCCCCTGCGGGCAGTTTTATCCTTCAAGCTCGGGTCCTCTACCAGAGGCCTGGGAGCTTGAGGGTCCTGCGCAGTATCTTAGCTGTTCCCAGGACTGCGCTCTTCTGGACAGAGATCTCCGATGTTATTCCCGGGATCTGCTGGAGCCACTCGCCTAGCTTGGGAGTCACCGCACCTAGTGCTCCGATTACCACGGGGACCACCGTTACCTTCACCCTCCACATCCTCTCGAGCTCTTCTCTGAGCCCTTGGTATTTCTCCAGCTTCTCGTCATCCTATTCATGTAGCCCCTTCCGCCGGGGTTACTTGCGTAGTAGTATTCCAACAACGCCCTGTTTTCGTCTCTTGCCCACCGATGCCTTCTTGTTCCAGTAGCCCACTTTTCGTCAGGGTGCCCTGGTTCCTCAACACCTGACGCGGACCTTGTTGATCCGGGCAACGTCCGAGCCGGCATGCCTTCATATTTATCTGTCTCGCTCATGTCTGCGGTAGGCTTGCTTAGCATAGGGGGTCTAGCCTTAGGACCCTTACTGGATGGATATATATATATATATATATATATATATATATATATATATATATATAGAGAGAGAGAGAGAGAGAGAGAGAGAGAGAGAGAGAGAGAGAGAGAGAGAGAGAGAGAGTGCCTCTCATTATTTATTTTTTTTACTTATACCTGAAAACGGACTTTTGGCAGTACTAAGCATGATTATCTTCTTAAGCCTTGATTATACTGTGTTTTGAAAACGGACAGCAGAGCCAAATAGGCATCCTGGTTTCACACTTCTTTCAACTCCGCTTGAAGTCCGTCACCTTTGCAACATGAGTAGTTAGTGTATTATAATGTAAATTCTCTATTAATTTGTCCACACAGTCACTAAAAATAGGTAGGCATGTTTTCCACAGTCTGACATCCCATCTTCCCTTTAACAGCAGTCTATAAACATGTGGGAGCTGAGGAGACCAGCTGCTGGACTTTTGGGAGAGGAATCTTGTCCCATTCTTGTCTGATACAGGATCCTAGCTGTTCAGCAGTCCTGGGTTTTCTTTGTAGTCTACTTCATTTGTTGCATTTTATAATGAACCAAATGCTTTCAATTGCAGAAAGCCCAGTTTACCAACCATATCTTTCTACAATTAAGCCATTGAGTCTGGATGGACAAAAAGTGGACTACCATATCAGAGATGATGGTGCAGATCATGTTCATTATGTACTATAGATGACGACAAATTCATTCATTCTTCACAATTTTACCTTGAAAATTCTGAATTTGTTACAGAATTTTTAGATGTAGTTTTCTGCAGATAAACCTGTGCCTTTAATTCTGAGAAACTCTGCCTCTCTAAGATGGTCTTGGAGGAGAAACTCTAAAAATCTATCAAACATGAGGCACTACACATTGTGGTGAGGTTATATACCACCACTAAGATTTTGTTAAATGTTCCTTAGCAAGTTGGCCCTCAACCAGATGCTTTTGGTAGCCATTAACAAGCTTCTGGTCTAATTCTGGCTGTCCACTCTTCTTTGAAAAATTGGGTTAATTTAAGTTCATTTAAATTGGTTTGTTTCCTGCCATGGATCCAGCTTTTGAACATAGTCCACAAATTTTCAATATGGTTGAGGTCCAGGATTTAGAAAGGCAATTCCAGAAGCTAATGTTAGCCTGCTTTATCCATTCCTAAACCAGTTTTGATGTGTGTGATCATTGTACTGTTGGAAGAGCCAATTCTTCCCAAGTGTAGCTGTTTATCTGAGGTGACATGAAGAACTTGGAGGTAGTTCTGCTTCTTCATTATTCAGTCTACTTTGTGCAATGTATCAGTAGCACTGACAGCAAAACAACGCCAGAGCATGATGCTACCACCACCATGTTTGACAGTTTGTACATTGTTCGTACACTGTTCATCCTGTCTGACCAATTTTCCGTATTGTAAAATTCCTGTTGAGTTTAAAGATGTGGATTTTGGAGCAGGGGCTTTTTTCTTATTTGTCACTTGTCAGTCCATGGCAACGTAAAACTTGATTCACTGTGGACAGAGACCCTGGTGTTCTAGCAGTTTTGAGTTCATGTTAGGATGAACCCTGGTGGTTCCTAGGTTGCTCCTGAACATCCTGAACAATTTCCAATCATCTGAGGGGGATGATTTTTGATCTTTTTCCAGACCTTGGCAAAGTGGTGATGTATCCAAATAACTTGCATTTCCACACAATTGGTTGAACTGATAATCTTGGACTCTGCAGTTGTTTAGAGATGGCTCCAAGAAACCTTCCCAACTTGTGTAAATATACAGTTATCCTTCTTAAGTCTTCACTTACTTTCTTAGACTTTCCCATTATTCTGAGGAATGGTCAAAGCAATGAGGGCTGTTAAACAAATTATCTTTATGTTGGCAGAGAGAAACTACCAAGTGTATTCAATCATAAAAACTAATGAGAGGTTAATATTGTAGACATTGCAGAACCTTCAGTACCACTTATCACCAGTAAAAGATTTAAGTGAGTGTATTTATACATTTGAGCCTAAATGTATACTTTTAACCCTGCATGGATGAGGGAAAATCCATCATTAGTTCAAACTTGTGCAACCAATTCCCCAATTCTTTTGTTTTAAGTCAATAAACACATATGTTGTACAATGACTCCCACCTGGAAAAAGAACATTTCAGAGAAATCATTAAAAGACCAAAATTACTATGACATTCATGCTCATGATGGGTATATGTAAATGTTTGACCACATCTGTTGGTATCACTCACAACAAGGAACAAGTCTGCAATCACATTAACAAATGTGATGAGGACAGAGTCTGCGACATGTCAGCTTAACAAGTTTTGTCAGTGATGAATTAACTTGAGTTCTAACAGAAGCAAGAGACTAAGATTAAAAGTTAGTTTACTGTTTTCACTTGTTTCTTCTGAGATTATTGCATACTTGTAGCATCAAACGACAGCAGAATCAATGCAGAAGCTTTTCCAAATCAAAAGAGCTCTACACATTAATGCGCATTCTGAACTACTATATTTTATATTACTTATTTTGCTGCCAAATCTTGTACATAACACATAATAATATTACTGGAGTCCCTTTATGTCTTTAAAACACTGTTTACACAAGCAATGACAGCTATCTCATGTCTGAGAAGGGCTACAGTTAGGTCAATAAGGTTTTGAACAATTATACTTTTTTTTGTAATTTTAGCTCTGTATACCACCACAGTGTATTTTGTAAGATAATACATGATTAAATGTATTAAATTGAAATTACTGCATAAACTCTTTGGGCATTGCAGTTTTTTTAATATCATTCCTCATTTTCAGATGCTCAAAAGAAAATGGACAACTGACTGACAAGCAGTGACATACCCAGGTGAGGTCTGCTCCCTTATTATATCATGCAAACTAAATAGTTTGCACCTCACCTCAAGTGAGGTGGACTCACTTGAACCCTTCATGTAAGGGCCACAGAGCTGTTGATGGATGTGAGGGAGGCCATCATTGAACTGAAAAATCTAAATAAATCTATTCGACAAATAGCAAAAATTTAATACTGGACAAATCAACAATCTGTTATTTTCTTAAAAAAAAGTTTAAAAAAAAAAGTAATGCACTGGTCAGCTGAAAGACTACAGAACACAACTAAAGGAAAAGATTGCAAATTATTTCATTTGTTACAAAAGCAAATAAACAAAAAACCTTGTCCTTCACAATAAGTTCAACTTCAAGTCAACAATACTCTCAAAAATTTTGCCGTATCATTGTCAAGGTCTAAAATCACGAGAAGTTTTTTATAAATGTAAATACAGAAAGTTTACAACAAAGTTTAAACCACTGGTTACACTCAAAAACAAGAAGCCTAAATAAGACTGCTAGAAAACATCTAAACAAAGTTCTGTGAAATATTCTTTGGACAGATGAAACCAAAATCAACTTTTACCAGGCTGATGGACCTAGTCAAGTACAGAGAAGGAGAGAAACAGCTTATGATCCAAAATGTACCATATTATGTCAAACATGGTGGAGGCAGTGTTATGGCATTGGCATGTATGGCTGGTAGTGCAATTGTGTCTCTAGTCTTTATAGATCATGCGACTGCTGATAGAAGTACCACAATGAGGTGTTAAGTGTGCAGGGATGTAGTGTCTGCTCAGATAAAACAAAATTACCCAAAACAAATTAGACAGCACTTTGCAGTGCAAAGGGAAAATGACCTGAAACATACTGCAAACAGTACCCAAGAGTTTCTAAAGGCAACGAAACAGGATATTCTTCAGTGGCCAAGTTTGTCACCTGATCTAAACTCAACAGAGCATGTTTGACCCACAGAGTGACCCAAAAACAAGCAGGACTGAAGATGGCAGTACTAAAGGTCTGCAGTGTATCTCAAGGGAAGAAACAGCATTTAGTAATGTCCATGCTCTCTAAACTCATTCACAAGTTTATTGATTGATTTGGAATCCACTGTGATGGTGCATGGAGCCAAAATGGCAAAAAGAAAAGTGCCATTGCCCAAAACCATATGGAACTAACTGTATAGCGTTACTTTTTTCCCTCCAACAAATCAGATTTTTCCCAGATGCAAATAATTTTATTAATTATCATCTGTTATTCAGGTAAAAATCTGATTGAGATTAAAGTCTTTTTTCAAGTGAGGCCGGACCAATTCAGACATCAGGAAAAGTTGGGCATTTTGTTAACTATAAAAATTTTACAGATGCAACTGTTTTCCTGATCAGTTTGATCTGCGTTTTGCTTTGCTAATTAACATGTTAGCGCTTAAATAATAAATGAAAAGTATGCAGTTTTACACATGCACTAGATACACATTTGCAGTTCTGCTTCAGTGAAATTAAGGTTTTAAGCCTTACCTTGGCTGGCTAGTGTCGAGCGTAGCATCCCACTTTTTGACCAGATTTTAATCTGCCCATCTTCTCCAGCTAATTAGAAAAACAACCAGAATAGGCCATAAAGACATCTTGATTAGATTCTCATTTTGATTTAAAAAGAAAAAAGGCTGATTAGATGAGTAGTTGTCAGATAACAGAGGAAATGAGTCCTAGTCATCTTTACCAGTGATAAGAGCAGTCCCGTCATAGTTCCATCTTCCAGCCAAAACAGCTCCTTTGTGCGCCTCAACACTCTTCTCAATGCGACCCATCTTTGAGGTTAAGTGGAACTTTCCTGCAACAAATTTACAAAAAAAACCCCCCCACATAGATGGTGTAAAGCCATTCCACACACTAGGCCTGGGGTGATGTAGGCGTTTTCAGTTGTTTATAACTCAAATACAGAACTGAGCGTTGTAATTCACTCAGTAAAGTTTCATAAATCTGTGGAATTCTAGTTACTGTGTAACGGAAAACAAGTTTTACTGGCCAAGACAAAATAGTAAAAATATATAAATAAATACGTATTTTAATCAAAACACACAATAACTACCAATCCATCTCCTAACACACAAATACAGACAAATTTATATTCTCTACAGTCAAGTAAATTACAAACTTCTGGTTTGAAGCAAATGAGTGAAACTAAAAAGGCTTCTGTCGGGTAAATTAGGGCAATTTTCTATGCGGTAGACACGAAAGGGTGATCAGCCATGGAGAGTTATTGAAGACGGTAGCCTACCATATACTTTGTGGCAGTGCATATTAAAAATTCTGAATGTTCTATGTAATTTCTGGTGACCTAAAACTGCAAATCAGCATGCTGCAGTGCTCTCTCATTTCTAAATTTGGACATCCCAACAAAAGTAGATGTAACTGATCCAGCAGGTAGTCAGTTTAACAGGCATGTACAGCTGAATGACTCTCTTAAATGAAAAGCACACTAGAAAGCCACATTCTACATTGGAAATGCTTAATTGTTTGTTTGCCTGTTATCTGGAAAGCCTCATTTTCAGATTTCTTATAAAAAAATATAATATATATAAATATTTTTAATAGGAATGAAATATTATACAAACTCCAATACCATGTGTGCTTGTAATTTAAAACGCTAAAACTGCTTAGCATCATACATTTAAAAAAAAAATTAAATTTAAAAATTTAAAAAAAAATCATAAATAAACTTGTAAAAGGAAAAGAAGGCCAACTAATCAAAAAAGGTTAGGAAATCCCAAAGATGTCAAGTCTTCAAAACTAATAAAACCCAGGTGGACTGTTTTCTCTTCAAGTATATTATACAATCTAATAGGAAATCCAACAAAGAATCCAGATTAAAAACTTTAATCTGGAGCAAAAGAAAACTTTCAGTGTTTAAGTTAACAGTGAAGTCAAAATAAATGAATAAAACTCTGTTTCTATTCCCATTGCAGAACCAATAACTTTTGCAATACTAATATTTTTAACCGTAACAAGACAAGAAGCAGAGGAAAGTTGCAAAATGGATCGTAACACTTTTCACTAGTCTCTGGTCTGCCAGAGAAAATTGCTGCTTCAGTTTGTGGGTGTGTTTATGCAACCCTACACTGCCATTAGTGTTGTGACCACACATTGCCTTGCCATAACAGTACATCCATATTCTGTGTGTTGTATCTAACACAGGCCAAAGAAGAGACATGTACGGCAGATTCATGTCACACAAATTGTGTCACCAAGGGTCGGTATTAGAAACCTACAAAACAAAAATTGAGTTTTAGAGTTTTAGATTTATACTGAAAGCTTCATAAAAAGAAGAATTCAGATGGACTCTACTGGATCCTACAAGTATCAAATTGGTAGAGATTATTTCCCTTAAATATAAATAACAACTCTTGAATTGTCCCTATGTCTTCTAAAATAAATATCAAAAATTAAGGAAGACATTGCCATCCTGTAGATAGCCAATTCTGTTACTTAATTTATTTATTTCATGAGAATGTCTTTAACTAATAAATGCATAGATATGACTAAAAACAGCCACTCCCACTGATTTTATGAGTGAACTCTGAAATAAACCCTTTAGCATTCTGGTCAAATTTTAGAGAATACAAAGACTTGCCATCAGTGCTGGTAAGGACAAAGATTTCAGCCTGGGCCTGTTTCTTCACACCAACAGTTTTGGGGAACCAGTGTAGGTCAGTAGGGTAAATTTCCTCTGGCAGTTTGACAATCAGACTGGTCTCACTGGTCAGCAGGTTCCACTTGAGAATCTGATGATCCTCACTGCACGAGTACAGCTCATCTGCTGTGGTCCAGCCAACGCAGCTCACAAGTTCTTTATGTGATCAGCTGTTAAGGAGTTATAGTAATGAACTGATTCTAAAACCCTTTTTGTGGTAACCTCTGCAATAAATTGGGTTTTCTGAAAAATGGACAGAGGCTAGAGCAACACAATGATGGGAAATATTACCACTGCCTCAAATAGCACCACTAATAATTATGATTTAAAGTTTTGGAACTGTGTCACAGAATTACATGTGTTCCATAACTACAAAAAGGATATGTTTGGATTCCTTTAGGAGCGACGTTTTCAGTCTCATGGTGGATGTTCGTTCTGTTGATCACTAAACGAACAGAAAAATGTCAGAGACAGTAACGTAACTGTTATGTTAAAGCTCTCTATATAACACTGTTGTCAAACCAACACAAAAAATAATAGTACAGAAGACCTGAAGCATGGGTGTATACAGCTTACCCGTAAACTATGTAAAGCAGCCGTTTGCATTCTCCGTTAGCTGTAACGATGAAACAAACAAGCGTCCGCTGTTGCTACGGTACCTGCTACTGTTGCTAACGGAAGTCCTCAGTTATCCCCTGAGTCTCGTCTGTGACTTGAATGCTAACGTTAACTTGTTCTCTTGTTTAAAATGGACATCGTTTTCTCGTTGCCGAGTGTGCTAAGCGAGTGTCAGCAAAGCGTGCGTGTAATTTACTCTACTATGAAGCGCTATTAGAATACGCAAGTCTTATCTATCACCAATCAGCAATTTATGCCCCCAACGTATAAAACCTGCATTTTGGTAGCCATTTAATCTGGGTCAAAAACAGCTTGAAAAACAAATTATCGCGAGAGTTGCATCTCCACTTCCTTGACAACGGAAATTTCGAAATATTTCTAAGTTCAAAAACGACATCTGTTAAATAAATGTATTTATGCAAGTCGTTAGAATCGGGATCAACCAACACTAACAGTTGATCTATCGAGCTATATTCCCTCAAGTATAAACTATTGCTCGGAGCAGGTCCTTTATCGTACTACAGACAACCGTTTGAAGACGTAGGAACAACATTAGGCATTTTATGAGAATAAACTTGAATAATATGAACAATTTGCTGTAAAAGCATTGCATGGCTTTTATTCCTTTTCGTTTGTTCTTTATAGTCATGTGAATGCGGTTTGTTTGGAGTGAGACGGAGTTGGCTTCGTCCCCTTTTTTGAATTTCGTCCCCCCACCCCCGCCCTTTGAACGTTCCATGGTGCCTTGCGTCAGTTTGTAACGAATTTGGTTCGACAGCGAGGTTTAGGCGCCATTTACAAGTTTGAGTTGTCAACTAAGGAGAGCGAGTCGGAGTGACACGGGAGTAAATTTTTTGGATTATATTTGCCAAACTTTGGATTGACGATTATTTTTTGCGTAATAGCGACTGTGGTCTGAAAGGAAGACTCTTGACAGATCGTGGTTATACTGTGGAAGGTACATGGAAGTATTTTAGCGGAAAGTAACGACTGGGTTCCGTCTACTTGCTGAAATGTATTACGTTTGAAGAGGGACTTAACAGTAACGGCAAGTTAAACTAAGGTTTAACGTTAGCTTCTGATTGAAAGCGAGCAGACCATTATTACACATTCTAAGAGAAATAATGAGACCTAATCACGTTTCGTCTTAACTTATATTAAACCCACAGTGACACTCACTCCTAATAGCGACATTTCCGACTCGTTAAAGTAATGCTCGCATTGCAAATAGCTCATAACCGGCGGGCTCTAATGTATTTACTCGTTTAACTTTAATACTAGGGTTAACAACTTCTTTCATATCAGATAACACGTTGACGTTGGATAGGATTTGCGTTACGTTTATGCCGACACTGCATTTGACTTTATAGAGCCCAGCAACTCATACCTTTTATAGTTTAAGTTAGCCACTATGTTAGCTTTAGCGTCGCAGCGATATTTCATTTCATATAGTTAGCCAATCACTTAGCAGAAGTAGTAGTAGTACAGCTAACTTAACGGTAACGTTAGCAAGTAAAAACAGCGTGGCAGAGTTTGCGCTGCCATTGCCAAGTTACTTATTTGGCAAACGTGAATGTAATTATAACGTTATGCTAACACGGGTAACGTTGCATTAGTTGTTTGAATGTGCGTACCAATTACCTAGCGAGTTAGGTTGGCTCGTCTACGCCTCCGCCCCAACAAAAACGTTGTGGGGATGAAAGTTAATATTAGTGTCGGTTTGAAACCTCGATCAATTTAGGACGTTGGGTCTTCACCACCAACTTCAGCCACATTAGCAGCGGCTGTGTAACGCAGGCTAGGCTAAGAGAGCTAAGGAGGAAAATAATTAGGCTATTTGCACATTAACTGAGTCGTTTTTCACTTGCTGTGACGTTAACCTTATTTTTGCTGCGTTATTTACCGCCTAGGTTCGCGAGGCAAAATAAAATGCGTGATATAGATGCCTACTAGAATTGTTCTGTGAAAGGATGGGATTATTATTTTAATTATTTTAAAGACAAATGATGCTTAATTTTAAACTTGAAATAGATTATGATTCTGTGCAGTCATCGGATTGGTGCTATCTCATTTTAACGTTTTCAGCAGGAGTAACTCGTGTTATGCTGGACTCATTGTTGTAACAGCAATGTTAAGATATGCAAAATATACCGATTAACAGTTAGCTGGGCGTCAATAGGATCTGACTGTGGTAATGATTAGAGGCTGACAGAGAAGCTGCGTGTAACCGACTAAAAGTGGAGTTGAGAGATTGACAGGCACAAAAACCACTCATGGATATTCCCTTTTTACCAATGACCCCTTCAGATTTCAAGTCATGCCATCTAAAACTGCAAAGAGCTCAACTGCCTCCGCCAAGCCAAGAGGGAAAGGGTCGCAGTCTGACTCCGAAGACGAGCTAGATGTACCCCCTCAAGAAACTAACTCCAATGGCCAAGAGGAGGCACCGCCGAAAACTGGCAAGTAACAAAGGGTGTTTTGGTGTCTGTGAATCTAAATAAGTTGTTCAGTCAAAGCCTTTGCGTGTATTGCTGTATTGGTAGGGGCCAATTGGCACAGCTGTAAAGCTTTTTTTTCTCTTCTTGCTTAAACAACACGGAGTTAGAATGGCTGATATATTTTTGACTAAAGTGCCAGTCATCAATAAAATGATTTTGGAGATGATTTTGATAACGCCGAGTGTACTTCTTCCCCGAATCTTCTCAGCAGACGAGGTAATTTATTTCGAAAAATGAGGTGCTTTGTGTAGTAGATCAGAGCGGTGTTTGACTTAATTCTTGTAAGCTTGATATTTACTGATTTGTATGCGAACCCTATAAGATGCACATAAGCAGTGGGTGATGTCTGTATTTTGTAGAATATGTTGAAATGCTTCACTGAGTGTCTGGCTGCGAGGTTTTAATTGACAAACATCGACATCTTGGCTTGTTTATGCTTATGTGAGCACAATAGATTTTGGACAGGTCGTTGTGGCTTTGTGTGATGGCAACATAATCGTTTCTGCGTTACACATTATTATCACAAAACACCAGTTTTCCTGTTTCTGTTTGAGCACAGACAGGCATGAGTGAAAATGTGACTCTGATGGCTGAGATTTCCACTTTAGTTATTTGTCATCGACAATGTGGCGCATCTGAGTACGTACAAACGCTTCTGGTGGAGAGCGTTTGGATTATAATGTGGGTTCGTTCATAAGCGGCCATGGTCTCTTTCTTTTTTGGGGTTGGCTCTTGTTTGCAGAACAAAGGAAAATAACGCCTGTCAACTTTTCTTTCTGGAGTCGTACTTTGACTGCTCTTGTAACTTGGTGCGTGTGTTTTGTTTGTTTGTTTTTTTTTTTTTTGTGTGTGTGTGCGTGCGCGAGTATGCTTCTCTACCCCTCCCCCACGTACAACTGTCTCCCCCCCCCCCCCCCCCCACCTGAAACGACTCGAACAGAAGAATAAAAGTTGTACTTTTTGTGTGCCACAGATTCGTCTCACGGGGAAGGTACCGAGACCGTTGATAATAGAAGTTTGGAGGAGATTGTCGGTAGCATCCCTCCACCTCCGCCCCCAGCAATGACCAATGAACCGGGTGCCCCTCGCCTGATGATAACACATTTAGTTAATCGAAACTTTAAATCATATGCAGGCGAGCAGATTCTGGGGCCTTTTCACAAGGTACGACCAAACATGGTTACACATGTAATCCCTGCCTGGGAAATACTCTTCTGATGTGTCACAGATTTAACATCACTTGTTGTGTATCCCACTCTTAATTTATTTTTTTCCCGTTTAATTTCATATGATAAAAACCCATAGATTTTTGCCTCGTGTAGTAGAAAAGAGAACATGTCACAGAATAATTTATTCTGCTATATTTTAGCATCATTGCCTTAAATAAAATCAAAGTGGAAAAAGTCAGACTCCATTTTGATTTAGTGAGTATCTCACAAGAGGTAGTGATCTAGTGGGGTGCTAACTTCTCTTGAAAATTATGAGTTTCTGTAAACTTTCTCTTCATACCTTTTCCTGTTTCTTTGTTACTAAATAATTTATCTATGTTAAAAACAACTTTAACTACACTCCCATGGAATACATTCAAATTTGCAGTCTTGCTGAAATAAAATGTTACTGTTTAACTCTACAGGATATACTCTGTTTTTACATTATTGATTTTATTTTATTTTTTTCTATTTTCTCTACCTTTTTCTTAGCGCTTTTCCTGCATCATTGGTCCAAATGGAAGTGGGAAGTCCAATGTGATAGACTCAATGCTCTTTGTGTTTGGATACAGAGCTCAAAAGATCAGGTCGAAAAAGCTCTCAGTGCTGATTCACAGCTCTGATCAACACAAAGATGTGCAAAGCTGTACTGTGGAGGTGCACTTTCAAAAGATTATTGATAAGGTATATATGTGTATATATATCTATCTCTCTGTCACACATATGCATGCTGCACTCACTCTGAATTAATAAATGGGTAGCCCAAATGCAGAAAGATGAGAAGAAATATTTTCTGAAGGATAGTGGTGTTTGTTGAATTAAAAAAATATTTTTTTTTCTGTTCTCTGTATAATATTGCTGCATAGTGATCACAACAGTGACTAAACAAAGACTCAAATCAGTCATGAAAGTTACAGCTAACACCCACACATGCCATAGTCAGTTCATATTGTGCTAGAGTTGATCCCTCTATTTTTAAATATTTTTTTTAATTGCAGTTCAGTAATTAGCCTCTACTCATTTAACTGTACTGTGAAAAGTAAAAAAAAAAAAAGTGGCTTTTGTATTGAGAGAGAACTTCAGTAGGGTGGATAAGATGACAGATTACATTGAAAAACGACTGAACTGTAGTTCAAAGAATTAAACACGTTTCTATATTTGATCTGCCACAGGGGGTGTGAGAAAGTGTTTTGCCTTGTGTACTCATAAATGTGTCTGAGCCTTTCTCTTTGCTTCATTAGCTCCAAGTAAATTTAAATCAAGTTTTTAAACTGATGGTCAAATTTTGTGTGCTATATCAGCTTTAAACTATTATCTAAAACAAAAACAAAAAATCAGAAGTAGTATAAACAAAAAGTTTTAAACTTTCTTCTAAAAGTACTTAATTTTCTGTTTTATGCTGTATTTTCACTGTCATTATTTTATCTAATAAACTGTTTTAATTCTCTTCATATGTTGCACTCTATACACTCCAGTATGTATAGGGTGTATTTGCATGTTACTCTGGCCAGCTTTATATACTTTTTAAAGAAGCCATTTTTTCTTATTTTGTTTTTAATGTAGTGTGTTTTTTGCCCTAGCCATCCTAATGTATTTGTTAGTGTTATAAATGTTATAAATATTGCAATTTGCTGTGTGGAGCTGTTTGAATTTCTTCTTAACTGCTCTTCTAAGCTG